AGCATAATGCTGGATCTGAGGTGGCAGGTAGAGAAACAAAATCTTTTCTACTTGTGAGACATCTTTTCTGAGGTATGAATAGAGCCAAAGCACATAAATTACAATGTGTTAACAACATATGTGGGACATCAGTAGTCAAGTGATTTTATTTTGTTGTAGCTTGAAATAAATCATATAAGAGTGTAGATCTGGTTGCTATATTTTATTCTTCTTGATTAGCAAGATTATAAGTAGCAGCACTTCCCGGGCTTATGTGAGGTTGCCTATGGCAGGAAGTGTTCAAGAAACTCTTGCTTGTAGCTTCCCAGCATGTTGCAGGAGAATCCCATTATTGATAAATGAAACTCTCAAGTAAGGTCTGGGTAAATGTGTGGTTGCTAGCTAAGTGTTCGCTGTGAGGCTTTACCACTGGTGCTCACCTGAAAGAGAAAGTAGGTTACTTCAGGTTATTAAAAAAAAATCAGCAGTAGGAAACTGCAAGATATAAAAGCACAAGGCAGAATTTGGGTAAGTTAAAGCATTATAGTGCAAGATTGACATCTTCTTTATGGCATTTAAATTCCGATTCAAGGTTAAGTTATTTATAGCCTTGGAAGCAAAAAAAAGGTCTGAGTAAAACTACAGAAATAACTCAGAATTAGAAAAAAACTTCTGTCTCTGAAGCATGACAACTGCACAGTAGAACTGGAAAATGGATGGGACATAAAAATATGAGAACGAGTAGAGAAATGTTGAGGACATCAGTACATACATGAGTTCTCTGATGGGTAGTACAGCTGGAGTTTCTCTCTTAATCCACAAATAATTCCAATGTAGGGTACATTCATTGCAGTGACTCTGGAAGAACCTTCAGTGCTGATCCCAGCGTGAGATCTGCTTTGTAAACTTCAACTATGGTTTAGCAAAGCACCTTTCACTAGATCTTAAAGAAGCATCCAAGTATACCTGCTTAATGTATGGTGGCCTGAGTTAAAGTTCAACATTAAAATATTGATACACTAATGTTTGCTTTCTGCAAACTTATTTATCAAGTTCTTTCCTGGAGACCAGGTCCTAAACAAACACAGGAGTGTACTCTTCTTGACAGGAGACTGGTTACAGACAGCATCAAACTAAGTTTCCCTCACTGTGTCCCTTCTATGAAACACTCTGGCCAAACAGCGGTAACAGTTGTCTCACTCACCAACTCCTTTTCCTCTCATCTTAGTTTTTAAGGCTTAAGGGAGAATTTCTAGTATTTTTTTTGTGGGAACACTGTTAGCTTTTCTATGATACTATCTCTTGATCTTGGGGATACTGGAATGATATAGGGATCTTGGTTTTATCATCTGGAAAAGCTGGCCTTGCTTGGGCTCCTAGGGCTGGGCTGATCACAAATGATCACTTGCTAAACCTCAGGGCTTCTCAGCTGATGCAGTCCCAGCTCTTCTGTGTGACAATCTTCGTGGCCAACTAATAGCATCTCTGTTTCCAGCTACCCTGCTGTGCTGCTGTCCTGCTGCTGCTTTCGCTACTCCTTTTAGGGGATGCCATAGAGAATGCGTCCAAGCGTTACGCTTCTCCTTTGACTCTCAGCAGCATCAATATTTTCTCCTTAGATGAGCTGATTTCATGAATCTCCTGTGAGACTCTTTCCTAATTCAAAGCCTTTTGGCTGTTACTCAGTTCAAGATACTAATTGTGCTTGAGATGAAAAATAAGCAAACTTGGCAGATAGCTACAGCTAGCATTAGTCTGTGCTTTCGGTGAGATGTTTTATCATGAGACATATGTGAAAGTTAAATTATAGCAATGGTAAGCACAATGATAAAGACAGTTTTTGTGTCTGACTTAGTATAAGCTGCTAAGTGCAATTTAATATTTTAATATTTTCCTCCTCTAAATTTTGTTTTGGTACTTCCCAAATACCTCTAATTTCCAACACATAATTTTTTCAGGAATATTCCTAGATCTAATATGGAAAATATTTTGTTCCAATTATAATGAAGACAGTGAACATCTGGAATATCACCACTCTCAGTAAAGCATCACTCAGAAAACTATGGGGGGTGTCTTACTCAAGATTTCCAAATCTCCTTTCAAATTGCTAATGAAAAGACCTCACTGAATTCACAGTTTTTCTTGTTGCACTAAGAGATAAGACTATTTTAAGATTTAAAAACTGAATGTAAATGAATATAATATCATTTTATCCATAATTTCCTTTTTTGCCCTGACATTATCACCGTTCTCTCACACATAGTATGAATGTTTCAAATCAGAAGAAAATGTTGTGACAACATTCCAGTAATTACCTCCATCTGAATGTCCTGAATGTGCTCTAGCAGCCCAGCGAAGTGTGGATGCTGCCAGTTGTTGGAGGAGAGGTAACCGAGCCTCAATTCTGTAGCACATTGAGAATCCAATACTTTTTGTAGGAAGCACCAAAGTAAAAATAATTTGGAAATTCTGTTCTTGAAGTTTAGCATTCAAGAGCAATTTTGAGGCTGCCTAGTGATCACCAGACTGATTAAAAATGCTAATCAGGAGCCTGTATGATTAGGAGATTAGTACAGTCTGAACTTTGATCTGCCTCATTTGTGTACTCAGAGAGAGAAGAGACACACACAATCACTCTGAGAACTGCTTTCATAGGTAGCAGTTTTCTTTTGTGTAAAACATTCACAAAAGATCTCTCTCTCTCTTTTTTTTCTTCTTTCTGTTTCTTGCTTTCGGTTCCTCAAGGGATGGCCCCAGAATTTCTGTAATTGTTACCTATAAAACAGACCCTTTTTAGCAGCCAGAAAAAACAACCCTCATCCAAAAAGGCAATATTGCCCTTGCATTCCTGTAACTGACCATGTGCTTTGATTTCATCCATGTGATTTTCATAGGACCTGACAGATTTAATGAAAATCCCTCACATATGAAACTCAGGACTTCTAACAGTACTTCAGTTCCATGCTCCTTGTGTGAAACCCATAGACACAAATACAAAATATCTGGAAGTCAAGGTATTACCTCCTGACCCAAATTTACCTCAATTCCAGACAAACTAATCATTTCATGCCTTAACGTTAGCAATTCTTCATATCAGGAGTGCCATGACTTTGATACAGCTCAAAATATCCTCAGTATAAAGAGCAAGAGAATAAACCTGGTAAATACAAAAGTCACAGGCAACCTCAGTCAGACGTAACTACCAGAACAGCCTCTCCAAAGCCCACAGCTCCGCTCCGCCTTATCAGTGAAGCAGATAATGAGCTTATGACAAGTGGCTACTGAGAAAACATTGAATCTCTGCAGTGCCTTCCAGTTGTCACAACCGTGCTATTGCTGGATATAATCTTTATGCAGAAGACTACACTCATGTCAGCACTTCAGCTCTTATTAACCACCGAGTAAGTGGAAGGCAGATTGGTGTCCACGCTGCCATTTCAAGCAGAAGGGGAGGCTTGTGTAAAGACATGATAAAAAGCCACATGGAGAATTAGTGCTCAGGCATTATGATAGCTGTTAGGGGCTGCGGTGGCATCTAACCATGCAGTGTTATCTTTGCTGGGATGCCAACTAAACACTAAGAGTGGAGCATAAAGGTCTGTGATGAACAAATGCATGCTATAATTGTCCTGAACTAAAAGGCTTCAGTTGAGTTACGTTATGAGACAAGGATACCTCAGTGAGAATAGCTGTTACAGAATGAGGTGTTAGAAGGGCCTTTATTCAGATTCCTGTGGCTCTGCTGCCTAATTAGACTGTACGTTATGCTGGTCAGGAGTGGATTTCCTTATTCTGGGTTCAACTGGGAGATGTCCTGCATGGCCATGGAGAAAAATAACAGACACGAGCTGACTTGCAATATATTACAAGTCTTCCACCTTCCTCATGACAGTCCGCTGTTACTTCTGCTCCCTCAGCAGCGTTCAAGGGAATGAAAGACCACCGTGTGTCTCAGTGCTGCTCTTCTAACACGCTTCAGGCTAAATCAGAAAGTCCTAGGCCCACGAGAGCCTCTCAGCTTGAACAGTTCTGCATGCAAGCGAGTAACGAGGCTCAAACAGCCGCTTCTCTGACTGTCCGGCCTGAGCAGCCCTTTTGCACCGAGGCACGTGGGCAGGAGCCCGCAGTTAGCACACAGCCGGTCTGTGGTGCAGCGCCCCGAGTCCCGACCCTGCTTCTCACTTTGTAAGCAAAAACGAAAGGCCACCACACGCACTTGCAGGAGGAAGGGGAAACGCAGAGGGTGTACGATATTCTATACGTGAAGATTCGTTTTGGCGGGGTATTTTTATTAGTATTTCAGTTGTGACACCAATAGAAATAACGGCAGACACGAGACATTCCATGTTGCGAACTACGAGGCCACAGATCCCGGAGGACACGCGTGCCGCTGCCCCCTCAGCTCCAACGGCCGCAGTCAGACGGCGCGACCCCGTCCCCGCCCCGCGCCCCGCGCACGCCGCTCGCGCGCCACTCACAGCAGCCGCTCCCCGCCCCGCGAGGGGGAAAGGATTAATTTGGCCAGCCGATGCCCCGCCCCTCCCTGGGGAAGCCGGGCGCTGTTGCGCGTTGCCATGGGCGTCCACGGAGCGCCCGGAAAGTTGCAGGGCCGGGCGCACGAGGGAGCGGTAGTCTGCTGCGGTTGAGCGTCCGTTCGACGCCGCTGCGAGAGCCCGGGGGGCGGCTAGACCCGAGGCGGCGGTTGCCGCGTCCCGTCGGTGCCGAGGGGTGGAAGGAGGGAGGGACGGAGCGAGGACGGGACTCCACTTGAAACTTGGCCGGGCGGGCACGAGCGCTGCCGCCGTCGCTGGGCGCTGACTCGCAGCCGGCTGCGGGCCGACCGCCGGTCCGCTTCCTCCGCCGCCCCGCTTCCTCCGCCGCCGGCCATGGTGCGCGCGGGCAGCGGGGCTCAGCCCGGCCCCTGAGAGCGCCGCCTCGCCCCCCCCTCCCGCCCCCCCGCGCCGGGCCGCCTTCCCGCCCGCCTCCACCTGCCGCCCTGCTTCTTCGGGCACCGGCTTCGCCCCGCGCTGCCGCCCGCCCGCCATGGAGCCGTCCGCGGGGAGGCGGCGGGACTGAGCCCCGCACGCAGCGAGCCGCCGGCCGGCCCCGCGCCGCCCATGGAGCTGGACGGAGCGCCGCTCGCCCGCCCGAAGACCATGCTGCCGCTGCTGAGGAAAGTTCGCAAGCGGCGGGAGATGCTGCTGCAGCAGCTGGGCTTCATCTGCGCCATCCTCTTCTTCGTCTGGTGCATGTCCAGCCTGCTCTCCAGGCGGGGTGAGTGCTGGAGCGCTGCCGGCTCGGCGGGGCGCGGGGCTTCGGGTCGGCACCGAGCGGGGACCGCCCCCTGCCCGCCGCGCCGGCCGCCTCTGGTCCCCGGGCAGCGCCGGGCCGCCTCTCGTTGGTAACCTGTGGCTGTACGCCTCCATCCATCGGCTGCGACAGCCGCTTCTCTCCATCTTCTCCCCTAAGTGACGGTCTGGGATTGAGAGCACGTTCTGTATGATAGGCAAGGAACGGTGCCGGCCTCGTGTTTTAGGGAGTGCGTTGCATCCTTTATGCGATTGACGTGTTGGTAAACTGATAATCGATTGCGTTGTTCCCGGTGTTTTTCTGTTTGTTTGTTTCTTTTGTCGCCGTCTTGTTTGTTTGTTTTTCTGCCTGCTGGCACGTTTGGGGCTGTGAGTGTACAACTGGAGGCAGTCTTCTTCCACTCTGCCTCGCGTCCCCCCAGATAGGAAACCGAAGGCTACTGAGTACTGCATACAGGCTCCTAGGTAGGACTGCCAACGTTTCCTGAGGATTTAAGAACAAAATCAAACGAAGCCCAGATCCTATCTCTGCTGTAATTAGAATAGGTCACCCGCTTAAAGTTGAAATGCGTGCTTTAGGAAGAAAAAAATCCTATGGAACTTTTCATGCTTTCTGAGGCCCTTGTGCTCACATTGTTACCTGTGATGTCTGAGGTATGTGGGTGGCTTGTTGCCATCCTAGATACAACAGCTGTATTAGCACATAGCTTGTCTTAAAACTTCCAGTGTTTTTTAAAATCGTGGTTTCACAGTATAGCTCTGCCTTATTGAGAGCTGTTTATCTGTCATGCCTATGACTTCTTTTTTTCTTGCAGTAGCTAGGTTTTTTCATAAATGCACTGGTTTATGAAGGCAGCTTAGTTAGGGTATACTTGTCTTTACGTGGGTTGAGGTTTTTGTTGCAGATAAAGGGTTTCCAGATGTTTTTTGGTCTTGCGTGAAAAATGCCATGACTAATGAAAGTTTTTAATCTCCTTGGTTATCAGCTAAATCCCCGATAACCTGATTTTTGTTGGTATGCTCCATCAGGTAGAGTTTTTTTCAGCCCCCTAATTTACAGTATATTATATCCATAAACACTGACCATCTGTTCTCTGAGTTTCTTATAGTTGTGTCACCAGACTGTTTTAGCAAATATTTTACCTAAACTAACGTACCAAGCTAGAAAGCTTTTCTAGCAAGAGTTACTGTAGCAAACCATGAGCATTCTGAGTATAAATTTTAAGATCAAGCATGGGAGATTTTTGTTATTATATTATTTGAAATAGATATGGTTGAAATGGAAGCAATTTACTTAAGAGAATCTCTTCTTCCTTTGGTTATTATGATCATGTGCACCACAAGTGCACCTTACATACTGTATTCGGTAAGTTCAGTAGGAGACTGTTTCTGGAATATGAGTTCAGACTAAATCTCTTCTGATTTCTAAAGAAGTTTTGTTTTTCTTAAGTCTTGTGGGGTTTTACAGTGCTGTTTTTCATTTTCCTCAGCCAAGTACACCCTATGCTAAGAAGACCAGCCCCTTGGTTTGGATTAAGCAGAAATATATCTGGAACTTGGAAATAAGCGTTTATATTTTTGATAAATCAGTGATGTGGCATCTGCAAATGCAGCTGACTAAATGAAAATGTGATCATTATTCATGTCAGCATAGCTGGGCTGGTTTCACATATAGGATATGGAAGTGTTGAGTTTCACAGGTACAGGTTTCAACTTTTGCTTGCTGCAGAATTATTTTGCTGTTAAGGGGCCGGTAGCCAGAACATGCTGACAGCTCAGGAACTCCACCTTCATAGCTACTTTACCCTTTGTAGCAGGGAGCACCAGGCATCCTTGCATTGACACGTGCCAGAGGTACACCTTCATTTTGCTGTGTTCACTTACTCATATTGATGATCTGCCTGTGATCCTGGCTAGTGGGGAGCATGTTAAGATGATAGAGGAAAAACTCAGTGACAGTGGATATAACCTCTTTCTATTTCATATAGGCCAAGAATCAAGTATTGCAGACACACGTGTTTCACCAGGGGCGTGGAGGAATAGAATATTGATGGCATTACCTAATGGGACACAGGAAGGAAAGAACTGTACAGAGCCAGGTAAGAAAAGGAAACTTTGTGATGTAAGTTGTACTGTGCAAAATTACTATTCAGATGTAAGTACGTTCAGGGTCATTATGAGACTTGTGTTGACAGTTCCTCAATTTTTCTTTCTTCATTTTTCCTGCCTAACTGAGCTGTGCATATTACAGTGGTAATGAGAGGTGCGTTCTTCTTGAAACTGGATTAAATGTGCACTGTTTGAGATATCCTCTGAGCACAGTAATTTTTGGACTTGTTGCCATTATAAATTGAATCGTGATTTGCTGATTTAGTGATAAACTGTGTATTTGGAGTGGAAATTCACACTTTATTGAGGGATGCGATGAGGTAAGTAATATGGAAACCCTGGAACTCCTTTTACTTCAAGATATCTGTTCTGGCCGGAGGATAATTGATGGAGAGCAGGGATAGATGACACATTTTAGTATCTGTGTTAGCCCACAACACTTTCATCTTCCCATCTGTCTTTCCAGTGTGTATTTCCTTTCTCTCTCTCCTTGCTTTTCTGTGGTTTATGGTGAGTGGGAGACGAGACATTTTGCCAATGGCACTAGCCAAATTAATTTAAAGTTCAGATTATTTATTTATTGCAATATGATTCTTTGATCAAGTAGGGAGTGACAGCAGAGACTGTACTTTCTTGCAAAGAGTTGACAGCATGAGTTCAGGGATACTGTGAACCTCTGGCACTGAGGAGTTTGGAGCAGCATTTCCCCCTTTCAGTTACATGCTTGTTATAATACTGGGGCTTCTACTGTATGGATAAAGGATTGCTACTGTGCTTATGCATTATGAGAGGAGTGGGGGAACGTTGCTCAAAGTATGTGGATCCAAAAGCTTTCACTGTATCTTCTTGATGTCCACAAGCTTCTCTGTTAAGAGCTTAGTTTGCTGCTGTTTGTACCTGTAACTTTATGATACTTTTGAATTATCTTTAAAAGTTGTTCACAGGTGAGAAAGAAAAAACAAATAACCTTCTGGGAAAATGTAATTATTTTCTGACTGGTTATCAATAATACAGTTCTTTCCTCTTTAGTTTTCTTCTGCATATGTATCAGTGTGATCATGTGTGAACACATGCATGGCTGCTCATTCAAAGGCAAGCCAGCAAAGATCACAAAATTGTCAAAGTTGGATCAGTGAGACACCTCTCAACTTTTTTGGTGGGAATTTCTACTTACAGTAAAGGATAACTTTACAGTGATACAGTAAAACTGCTAATGGAAAACATACGCTTACATACATATATTGAAATATTGTTAGCAATGCTGACTTCTCCAGATGCTTAGAAGAAAACATGGAGTCATAGAATGCATTGGGTTGAAGGGATCTTAAAGATCATCTAGTTCCAACCTACCTACCATGAGCCAGCTTCTGCTAGATCAAGTTGCCCAAAGCCCTGTCCAGTGATTCAGCTTCCTCCATTGCTCCAAAACTGTAAAAATAGTTTAAGAATGATTGGATTAAATAAGTACAGCTGGAACATTTTCATTTGCTTTATGAAATTCAAGTTGTTGAGGTGCACTTTTTTCTTTAACCACAAGAGGTGGGTGGATGGAATCTGGGAGACCTAAATGTGCCCTAGAGCGCTGAAGTTTTAAGAAAACTTTGTGTTAAACTTGTGATTTTTGGCACAGCATTGGAGTTAATCTTTCTTTTTAATAAGTGTTTCTTCAGTTAGAACACAGATTTACAGATCAAGCATGTCACAGAACTGAAATTGTGGCATTTTTAGTCACTTCCTGTTATTCTGCAGCAATGTAAATCTTATCTGTCTGTATCTTCCTCCACTGGTGTGGGGATCTGGATGCTTCAAGAGTTGCTAAAAGAAAGATGTAAACATCTGAAAATATTTGAAACTGATTTTTGTTGGACAAGGATGATTTTGTAAGGACCCATGTTTGTAGTAGTAACTTCTGTGGATTTTTTCTTGTTGTTCTTCCTATATGGTAGCCAGAGATTGGGATTTCTGCTGTAATGAGAAGAAGGCAAACCTGTCAAAAAGGAGGAAGCAGCAAGCTCATTTTCTTTAGGATGTAGCTTGTGTAACCCTGTGACTACAAGTGGGAAAAGCAGTCACGGGAAAGGCTAAGAAACTCAGTCAAGATCACATAGAAAATTGGTGAGAAAATGTGGGTTTTCAGCTGCAGTGTTTCATGCACTTATCCAGAAAACTGCCCTTCTCAATTTAATGAAGCTCTCAGGAATGGGTTGTCAAAGTTTCTGACTGTCTGAACTTTGTTTGTTTTTTTCTTTATTCTTAAGAACGGATAGTTAATAAACATTTATGTTGTATGGATATAGTGCTCTGTATAGGCTCTATTATGGGAAGTGCTTATTCTTATCTATGTCAGCTCTGTATTTCCTTTAAGCTTTAGGGGCCCAACAGATGCATGGTTGTGTATATGGTATGCAGCAATTTCCTTATGTGAATATTTCTCTGTGTGTTTAGGATATAAGGACTTCATACCTCGAGGAATGCAAGTCCTTGCTTGAGAGCCTGTTAATCTTTTGTGTCATTGCACTGCAGTTACTCTGCTCCCTTTTTATTAGCTTCCCACGCAAGTCTGCAGCTTTACTTCTCTTTTCATAAAGGCTTTCAACAAAGTTAATTTATTTACCACTTCATCCTCTTCTCTTGCTTACGTGCAAATAAAAAAAATCCCCAGTTGTCAGAAGTTGCAGCTATAGAAGTTTGTAAGACCATGAAAGCCTTTCAGTTCATGACAGGGCACTTATCCTTAGTTGAATATGTCTTGGGAGAAAAACTCTGTAAGCTTCTTGCAGTTAGAAGTCTTTGGAAGCTGCTATCTGCTAGAAGCTCAGATAGCATACGTTGTATGAGATTCTCATTTACAGGAGTAGATCATTTTGTATTGTGCTCTTCTGAAAACATTATTAATGCTTCTGGGATCATTGTATCAGAATAAAAAAAAAACCTTTGAAGTCTTGGCAATGTTTCTCTAAGTATGAATCCTGAGGCTCTAACAAAGGAAAAGAAAATACATAGATGAGGGTGTGTGTGTGTGTGTGTCTGTGTCAAGAAAGAAAGTGGATGGAGAGAAGGGAGCAATTTATTTGTTAATAAAGCAGAACTGGGGGAGAAGGGTTTTTCTGACATTTGGAGGTTAGAGTGACTGATACTGATGGATATCTTAAAGAGTGCTAAACAGTTTTACTGAGGGTAGATATTCTGCTGTCATAAGGAATTATAGATCCCATAGCAGCAGCAAAGGAACTATAGGCAACTTGCAGGAAGGAGACAGAGCATTTGTGAGCACCTGGCCAACCACGGTTTAGTCTGAACTAAGACCGAAGTTAGTGTGCCATGTAGCTGTCTTCCATTAAAGATCCTGTCTTGAAATTTCATTTCCTGGAAGCTCCTCTGCTGTGAAAAAATACACTCAGTGGTGCCCAATGACAGGACAAGGGGCAGCAGGCACAGACAGGAGCACAGGAAGCTCCATATGAACATGAGAAAAAACTTTTTTCACTGGATCCAGCTGTTCAGGGAGATTGTGGAGTCTCTTTGTCAGAGATATTCAAGATCCATCTGCATGTTTTCCTGTGCAACCTACTGTAGGGAGCCTGCTTTAGCAGGGAGGTTGTACTAGGTGATCTCCAGAGGTCCCTTCTAACCCCTGTGATTCTTCGATACAGGTCTTAATATTATCCTGGAGCCAGGCTAGAGGCTTATGGATAGGATGTAGAATGCTCTGGGCCTCCAAAATTTCATGAGATTCTATGATTTTTGAATTATGCATCTTCTGCTTATTTTGTGTTGAGTAACTTTGAGTGACTGTTGTGGATCTCTTTCATTGGGGGAGGCTTTTCTTTATGGCTTTGAAAACTTTTGCTGAGTAAATTTGTGCTGAAGGAGGGGCTCATCTAATCCTGGCTTAAAGACAGGTCAACAGAAAGGGAGAGTTGTTGTCTTTAGCATCTTAACAGAGCTCATTAGTTTTCAACCAGTTTTTTTTTGCTGTATCCAAACTCTCAGTTCCATCTGCCATCAGCTCACTAGCTTGCAGTGCCATCTGCCCAGCAAGTATGATTTATATAGCTTATCTGCTACTGTGGCTCACCTCTTGTTTCAGAATGTTCCCACAATCTCCTTATCTTCCAGAACTCTGACTAACGTTTTGATTGGTTACAAATAGGGGTGATTTGGTGTTCTGGTGTTTCTAACCATGTGACTCCACTGGATGATGTTAGGCTATTAAAGTAATTCATCTCGACTGCTTTCCATTGTGAATGCTTTCAAGTAATCTCTGTCTTTATATACGTTACAGAGATTAACGACTTGTTATGAATTAGAAATGTATCAAAATATATTTCTATTACAGTCTTCTGTCGCTGGTCAGTGAAATTGTCTTGAAATTGGCAGCATCTGCAGGCTTTCCTATCCAGAGGTCTGTCAGCCATAGGCAGTTCATGAGCTACATTGATTTTTAGTGGCTGGGGATTTGGTTCCAGCCTGCTCTTCCCATTGTTACCAGTGGGAAAGGATGAACTGTGGGCTGGGAGGAAGACAGAGAGGTTAGCATTTCGGAGTCAGGCTGCCTTTTTTACTTCAGAATTAAAAGGCGCGTTGTAGCGAGCCTTTATGTCCTTGATGCAAGAGAAAAAGAACCGGTCATCTATGGTGAAATTAAGTGTGTTTTCCAGCAGCCTGTGTGTAACTTGAGTTCAGAGTCAGGATCCAAATTCATTAAGTCTGTGTATATTTCACATTGCTAGTTATTCAGACCTCGGGGACTCCTGTAGAATATGATGCATTGTAGAGAAATTCTAGATGTCTTTGGCATTTTTGCTAAGATACCATGGAGAATACAAGAGCCTGTTACTTTTTCTAAAAAAATCCATGAATAGTGCTCTCACTGACTAGGGGAGAAAGGACTGACTCCAAGTAGTTTTCCAAAATGATAGAAAAAGCTATTTTTTGTACATTCATAATCAAGATGCTATAGGAAGCCTTGTTTTCTATCCACTTTATT